TGTTTAAGGTGACATTTGTTAGGCATGCAGATTATTTGTCCCTCTTTTAAATTGGAGCGAGCGTGGAGCGATTTGACTGGAGCGGGAGGAAATTTTAGTGGAGCGAGGAGCGGTGTTGAGCTCTTGTGCAGGCTAATTTTTCATAGTCACACAATTAGCATGCTCAGCTCAGCGTAGCTGAATTCTATAACTTAGCGGTGCTATGCTAACGCTATACTTACTTGTCAACCTCAAGTCAACATTTGCGAATCATTAAACGCTAAATATTGCAAACGACTGTTTACTTAACCCTTTTTTGTCTTCATGCTTTAGTAGTAGTCCAACAGGATTTGAAACAGAGGAGGCTGGAGCTCAGCCCTACTGTTTGAAGCGCTACTCTAACTGAACAATGGTGGTGGGCGGATCATCCAAGTATCAATAATATCGATAATAATGTTGGTATTGATATTGATCAATACCAGTTTAATGAGATCGATACTTCAGTTTCAATCTCTCTCCCGAATGCACTGCGGCTGTGTGTTCGCGCTGCTGCTCTCAATTGCCGCTCCCAGCTGTCACATGGCGCAGGCGCACACACACACTATAATATTTATAATAAAGTATTTTAATAGTGGGTCGCTGAGTCATGCTCGCAATAATTAAACAGCAGGGATAGTTCGGGGTTTAATCATCAGATGCATGTGTTTATTACACCCGCACTACTACAACCCACACACCGGCACTGCTCACTGTGCACGTCATCCCATTTACTCCTCATACACATGGTGGGCGCACGCACACATACACACACTGCATACAACAATAAACATTAACCACTATACATGACATAACACACAGCACATTTATAATCACACAAGCGATTACTGAGAACTATTTACAAGCTGGCATCAGTCTAACATGCCACGCTGCCGGCCGGTACCGCCACACTACAGTATTTATTTACTTATAAACTTTGCCCAAATTCTGTCCTGGGTTTTACATAATTAATCAAAAAAAAATCACAAAAACACTTAAAGGCAATGAAAATTAATTCAGCTTTAGCAATTTAATGATGCATCCACCTTAATTATTAAGAAGTATCGATATTGGTATCGTATTGGCGATACTTTCCCTGCGTTTACTTGGTATCACATCGATACCAAATCTTGTAGTATCGCACACCACTACTGAACAAACTGATTGACAGCTCTGTTGGGGGTGGCCAGGCAGGGTGGCCAATCAGGTTTCAAGGTTAGTTGGTGCCACCCTCAGCCACCCCTGTGGTCCCGCCTCTGCTGTAATACCTCTTTGTTTTTTGTATATTTATGCAGATGTTGCAACAAAGTTTTCTCTTAAGTTAACAATGAACAACGAGCCAATTAAGCGTTCCTTGAGCGATTTGCATTGGATCAGGAAAAAAACTGCCATACGGTAGTTCAGGTGTATTTTAGCTCCAAGTTTAAAGTGAAAGTAAAAGTATGGCCAGACAGCATTTCCTGTAAGGATGTAACTGTGTTAATCAAAGCACCTATAAGCTGTTTATTAAAAAAGAAACTATGTACGTAAGTTTTCCTGTCTTATTGAAACGGTTCTTTGTTTGAGAAAGATGGAGATGCAGATCAAAAGTTTCAGCATTATTTTGATCTTGTTCATCATTAAATCTGATGGTATGTACTTTTGGAATACAGTTTTATGTGTCTGCCAAACTCATATAATAAAGCTGAATAAATGCAATCGAGCTGTTCTTGTTTTGGGTGCATTAAATAAGTACCAGGTATGCTTACCAAATATTAAAGTAACTGCATTGGGATTGGTGTTTTTGACTTATTATTTAATGTTTTGTTGTCATATAGAGATTATATATAGATATATATCCCTGTGGTAGGTTTCCTGCTACACGGCTCTGCTGGTCCTCTAACAGCCCGGCTGACAGGAGCTGTACTGCTGCCCTGCTTCGTGGACAGACCCCTGCCTTTGGAGGAGCT